GCAGGTACTATTAGTACCTCATTTTGCAGACAGGAAACTGAAGCTCAGAGAGGGTAAATAAGTAGATTTGAACCTCATTCTGTCTGGCCTGGAACCCAGTCTTACTCTTTAGACATGTGAGAGCTGCCTACTTCCGCCTGTTCCCACTGCTCATAGAACCCGTTGCCATGGAGTCGACTCCAACTCACAGTGACCCCATGTGTGTCAGAGTAGAACTGCCCACCATCGGGTTTTCAGTGGCTGATTTTTTGCAAGTAGAGTGCCAGGGCTTTCTTCCGAGGTGTTTCTGAGTAGACTCAAATCACCAAACTTTGTCAGCAGCCAAGCGTGTGAACCGTTTGTACATTCAAGGATTCCCACAGCTCTTACAGCCTCTTCAACAGACACAGCCTGGCCTCCTCTTGGTCTCCCCACCTCCTGTGTTTCTAGCCCATTCACTGACCTCCCTGGCGGCAGGGATATTACTATGTTCCTCCTTTGCTTAAAACCCTTCTATGGCTCCCTATTGCTCCAATTTAGCCTGGCATTTGAAGCTGCTGCTAACTTCTCTAGACTTACCTCCTGCTTCATATTATGCAAAAGCCCTCTTGGAATACTCCAAGACATGCTTGTTCTCAGTTCCAAGTCTTTAGACATGCAATTCTCTGTGCCTGGGACACTCGCCTCACTCTTTATCTGGAAAACCCCTACTCCTTATTTGGTCTAAGCTTGGATGTCGCTCCCTCTGGAGAGAAGAGATTGGGGGTTAATGTCTCCTTCATGTCCTCTCGGTTTCTTGGGTTACCATCCTGTTTCACCTTGATCCTCACCCTCCCACTGGGGTTCCAGAGGCTGTGAGCCCTCTGAGGGCAGGAACCATGACTAATTCATCTCTGGGCTATAGGCTGGGGCCAGGCCGAGGTAGGGGTTCAACAAAGGGTTGCGAAGTGATTGCATGATCGGAAGACTGCCTGCTTTGCATCCCTACTCCACTACTTACTGGCTGGGAGGCCCGGGGCTTGCCCCCCCAAACTCTTTGTGCCTCAGTTTCCTCATCTGTGAAATGCAGATAATGAAAATACTCACTCTTGGGCAGGGATAAAATGAGTTAATACGGGGGAAGCACGTGGTACAGTTCCTGGCACGTGGCTCATGAGAGTGGAGAAAGGAAGGAGGAACAGGTATGTGGGTAGCTGCACAGATGGAAGATTGGCCCAGGTGGGCACATCCTTCAGGACAGCCGTGGCTGCTTCACACCCTCGGGGTGGCCCTGTCACATGGCTGAATCTTTTCCCACCGCTGCCCTGTTGGGTCCAAGGTGGCCGGTGGAATTCGAGGCCACTGGACCCAGACAGGAAAAGGCAGCGTCACCAGCCCTGGCGTAATCCAAACCAGATGCGGCCTCAGTGGCTTCCAGGCCCATGGGGGTGGTCACTGTGGTCCTGGCCAAGGCCCAGAGGCAGGAAATGGTCTTGGAGGGAGCTCTCTGGGCTGAGACCAGCCGGGAGGAGCTGTCCCATGAAGGGTGTTAACTCTTCTTAGCCCACAAGGGGGGCCCAGGACACTGCAGAGGAAGTCAGGGCCCTGGCACCACGGGGGCACAGAACACTGCAGAGGAAGATCGCAGCATAGGCATTGTGATGGCACTGTGCTGGAGGGGCCCATGACCCTGGTACGTGGTGGGCAGGGAACCCAGGCAAGGGGCCGGGGAAGCTCAGGGCCCTGCACCCCTGACAATCCCAGCATCCTGGGAACTTGCAGAACCCAGAGCCTTGGCCCCAGCCCTTTCTTGGGCCTGGCTCCAGCTTGGCAGCCCTGAACCAGCCATGCACTCGCTGCCTCCAACAGGGTGGCTCCTAGGGTAAAATATCTTTTTCCCCCTGCAGTTGCCAGGGATGGGGGCTCTAGCAAAATCAATGGGGCTGGAGGCCAGGCCTGCAGACAGGTAGAGACCCAGCTCTAGCCAAGGGCCCATGGTTCCAGCTTGCCCTGTGTGTGCTCTGTGGACCTCAGGCCCTTGAAGAGCAAAATCTCTCTGCTCCATTTCTCCATCCATTTTGTTGAGCGTCTATTCTCTGCTTCCAGGGGCCAAGGGAGGCCCAAAGGAGGCACCTGACAAATCACAAAGAGCTTCCTAAAATGTGCCCTGGGAGGGCAAGAGGTCGAGGCAGTGATCACCCCGTTCCACGGTCCTGGTGGGCTAGCTGTCCAGCACACATTAATTTGCTGTGTAGCCCTGGGCAAGTCACCTTCCCTCTCTGAAGCTGTTTCCTCACCTGTAAAATGCGGCAAATGAGCACTGCTCTCCCATCCTGCAACTGGCACAACGGGCCCAGGAGGTGGCAGAGGAGAGCAGAGCCTCATATCACAGAGGAGGAAACTGAGGCTTGCTCTGGGAAGCAGGAGTCCTGGGTTCTAGTCCCAGCTGTGGCTGTCTCTACTGAGGGGCCTTCCCGGTTTGGTCTTGGTTCCCCCAGCTGGATCCAGGCCCTGGGTCTTGGCTCTGGCTGGACCTCATTCTCGCCCCTGCCCCCAGTGACCCATGCCTCCTCATCGCTCTGTGTGGCCGAGGCTCAGCCTGGGTGGGGGCCAGCGAGGCCGAGAGAACCACTCCGAGGAAACCACAGGCCTGGCCCAGCTGGCAGGTGGCAGGCAGGCGGGAGCTCAGGGATCCACAGCCCTGGGGGCCCTGCCCAGAGGCATACATCCCACCTAGATCCCAAGCCAGGCTCCCCAGGCACCCTAATCCTGGCCTGCAAGGTCCAGACTCAGGCCTGATAGTCCCCGCATCTTACCCCACGTGGCACCTGCTGCAGCAGGATGCCGCACCCACCTGCTGGAATAGAGCAGGGGTGGGGGTGAGGACCTGGGGTGAGGACCCGGGTTTCGTCCTCCAGGCCATTGTTCACGAGGCAGGGGAAGGACTGGTGAACTGACAAGGTCTAAGGTCTCTCTCAGGAGGCAGCCAGTGTATTGGTTAAGAGCAGGGGCTCTGGGCCCAGAGCATCTGCCACTGACTACTGACTGAGCAAGGGCTTACCCTCCCTGAGGCTTAGCTTCCTTCCACATCCGAGAAATGGAGATAACACAGCATCCACGTGCAGGGTCACTGTGAGACTCAGTCGGCCCAGGACCTGTCCACAGCAGTGCTCAATACTTGTTCATCACTATCTCCGCTATTCCTGCAGGAGCCTATGTGCCCCCGCCATGCTGATGGGCTGCCCCACTCAGGCCAGTTCCACTGCTGACCCAGTTCTCCTCACAGCCACAGGCTGCACCCTGCTAGGGTTAAGCTCTCCTGCCCTCTGGAATGCCTCCCTCAGCAGATGGAGCCCCCTCCCCTGCACTGCAGGCCTGGATGAGAAGGCTGCGGCCAGTGGGAAAGGGCAGAGAACAGCCCTCTCCCCGAGGCCTCCTGGGAGATCGCGTCATCAGCAGACCCAGGAAAGTCATCACACAGCTGTCTAACCTTCCGGCCTCCACCTGGGGACCCTGCTTTCTGCTTCTCCTTGTTCTAGTGAAAAGCAGGGTGGGGTCACAGTCTGGGAGACAGAAGAGTTGATTTCAAGCCCCAGCCCCTGACTTGTTGAGTAGTCTTCGAGACCCTCTCCCTCTCTGAGCCTCAGTTTCCTTATCTGTCAAGTGAGGCTAAGAGCACCTGGCTTTCAGCTCGAGTCCACTGAGTGCTTCCCCATGCCGAGCACAGCGCCGCACTGTGCTGAGTACTGTGCCTGTACTGACTTGTGCAACCATCACCCCATCCTCTGCCTCACTATATCTGCCTCGGTCTCCCCCTCGGTAAAATAGGAATAATAATAGCATCTACCTCGTAACATTGTTGAGAGGATTCAATGAATTAATGTATAGAAAAGTGCTTAAATAGAGCCTGACACACAGTAATCACCCAATAAGTGTTGGCTGTCGTCAGCTCCCCCCTCACAGATGAGGAAACTGAGGCACAAAGCTGGGAAGCCACTTGCTGAGTTCTGGCGCTGCGCAGTCTGGCGCTTGAGCCTGCGTCGCTAACCACGACACTTCGCGGAAGGATATACTAAAGCGACAGGCACGAAGCAGGACCCAGGACAGCGGTCGTCTATAACTTCACACACGTGGGCGCGCGCACCCTCACAGAGGCGAGGCAGCTGCATCCAACCTGTACATTTATTTACAAGGCAAGAGCAGGTTGGGGGTTGCCCGACGGCCTGTACCACTCCTCCAGGGCCAGGGCCTCCTGAGCCGTCATCCCAGGGTCCTCTCCCTGCCTGGGTGACCCCAGGGAGGGAGTCCCAAGTGGCTGGGTTGGGTCTGGCTTGGCCCTCAGGCAGGCTCAGGGGTGGTCTCCTGTGTCCCCCAGGCTTCTCCCCTCCCCCTCCGCCCGGCCTGGGCCGGGCGCCCTCTCTCTTACACGAAGTTCCTGTGTGTTGGTGGTCGCGAGGAAGGTGGGCGGGGGCCGAGCCCAGGCCAGATGGTGTGTGTTAGGCCTTATCTGTTGGGAGTGGGGAAGCGGGCGGGGGCATTGAGGTCCTCTTTCACAAAGCCTGCTCTGTCTCCCGGGCAGCTGGGCCTCAGGAATCAGCGTTGCTGCTTTCCTGCCCCGCCAGGAGCCTCCCATCCCCAACCACAGAAGCCCCGCACCCTGGGACCCCCCACCCCAGCTAGGAGCAGGCCTAGGCCAGGGATGGCCAGAAGGGGCAAAGCGGGGGTCCCAGGGCAGCAGTTCAAAGAGGGAAGTTGGGGAGGTAACAGGGAGTGGCTTCAACGGGGACTGTGGGGCCTGGCTGCGGCTGATGGGCCGAAGCGCTCTCTGAGAAGGCGGTAGCAGAATGGATCCAGGCCACACTCCGAGGCAGTTCACGGGGAAGCGGTCACTGCGCGGGGGTGTGGGGAGCCCCGAGCCTTCCAGTCTGGCGCAGCCTTGTGCTGGCCAGCCTGCGCCGGTGGTCTGGCCTGTCTGTTCTGGCCTTCTGGGCTGTGGTGGCTTCTGCCCCGGCCACTGTGAGGCTGCATCCATGCTCGCAGGCTCAGATCCCCAGAGACATCAGTGCCCCGGAGCTGCTGATCTTCTTGAAGCGGTTGGCAGCGCTGACCGCAATGAAGTTTTTCTGGGGGATGAGGGAGAGCAGAGAGGGGTCCCAGTCAGCACCGGGGCAGGGGAGAGGCTGTGGGGAAGCTGGGTGTCTTTCTTAACTAGTTGCCACTGATTTTGACTCATGGTGACTCAACGTGTGTCAGAGTAGAGCTGTGCTCCAGAGAGTTTCCAATGGCTGATTCTTTGGAAGTAGATTGCCAGGCCTTTCTTCCAAGGTGCCTCTGGGTAGACTCAACCGCCAACCTTTCGATTAGCAGCTGAGCCCTGTTAATCATTTGCACCACCCAGAGACTCCGTCTTTCTTCAAGTCCCCTTCATTCCAGGAGGGCTGGAGACCAGGGAGGGCGCAGTGTCCAAAATGGTGCCATGGTGTGCACAGTCAACAATTTCTTCATTCATTCAACATATATGGAAGCCAGCCCTGACCTGCATATCACTCTGCTCAAAACCCTCCAACAACTCCTATTTCACCCCCAAGTAAAAAATAAACCCCTCACCATGGCTGACAGACCCCTCCATGCCCTACCCCCCTATTCTTCTCTGACCTCACCCCTCCCACCCCCCTCCCTCAAGCCACTCCAGTCATACTGATGCCTCTGTAAAACAGAAAGTCATGTTCTTCAAACTTGCCAACCATGATCTGCCTCGGGGTCTTGGCACGGGCTGTTCCTTCTGCCTGGAACACTCTTCTCCCCATGCCTGCTCCCCGCCTCACCTCCATGCTCCTTCTCAGTGAGCACTCCTTGGCTACCCTATTTCAAAGTACAGCCTCTCATGACGCCCCGACCCCCTTCTAGAAGCCTTAACTTCTTCATGGAAACCCTGGTGGTGTAGTGGTTAAGAGCTACGGCTGCTAACTAAAAAGGTCAGCAGTTCGAATCCACAGGTGCTCCTTGGAAACTCTCCAGGGCAGTTCTACTCTGTCCTATAGGGTTGCTAGGAGTCGGAATTGACTCAATGGCAATGGGTTTTAACTCCTTCTAATGACTCCCTACTGCCCCCCAAAAGGAAGTCCACGCAACTGAAAGCCTCAATTCTTTTGTTCACTGTTGTATCCCCAGTAGCAGATGCTCAGTAAACTTTTGCAAAGTGAAGGAAAGACCTTTTCCTGAGCCTGAGCCTGAGCCCAGACGCGCCAGCCCCTGGGGCCCCTGGCCCAGTTTTGGGGCTGGGTGGTGGGGTGGTGGAAGGTCACTGCTTCAGGGCAGGAGCCAGGCCAGGCAGGACAAAGAGAGAAACCTGCCATTTTCCCAGCAGGACCAGGCTGGTCACCAGAAACTGCGGAGGCAGAGCTGGTGGACCTGGGACCTGGCACCAGGACCTCTTCCCACCTGGAAGCCCGTCCCTCCCCCCTACACCCACCCCTCGCCCCCAGGCCAGCTGTACCTTCCAGCGCCTCTTCATGAGGTATTTCTTAAGTAAGATCTGGGACTTGAGGCGTCGGTTACAGCGCTTTGCTTTCTCTGCCAGGTTGTTGAGCCAGGGGTGGTCGAGGCACTCGGCAGCGCTCATCCGGGCCCTGTGGGGAGAGGACAGTGTGGTGATGGTGGGGGCAGGCTGATGGGGTGCAGGAGCCCAGCCAGCCTCCCGGTTCATTCCCACCGCATTGACACGTGCGCCCGGCACACATATGCGCTCAATGTGCACACATAGGGGTTGGCCTCCTGGGGTCGGCCTTACCGCTGGTCCTTGACGATGAGGTTGGACACGAAGTCTTTGGCCTCATCTGACACGGCCTCAAAGGTCTCCTCATCAAAGTACCAGTTGGCAGACAGAACATTGTTTAGGGTCTCTGTGTCATCGTCTCCCAGGAATGGGGAGAGGCCGCTCAGCCTTGAGGGAGAGGTGGGGAGGAGAGCAGGGAGGTGAGATTGGAGATACTGAGTCACCTTTGGGGGATCAGGGGATGGGGACAGATCCTAGGAGGTAGCACCATGTGCTGAAAAGACCCCCAGCCTCTTGAGTGGGACAGACCTGGGTTTGAATCTGGCTGGGTGACCTTGGGCAAGTCACTTCCCCTCTCTGAGCCTCACTCTTCTCATCTGTAAAATGGGCATAATCATCCCAGCTTCTCAAGCTTAGAGTGAAGATGAGGAATGGTGAGTGCAAGGCACATGGTAAGTGCACAAAAGATGTCTGCTATCCCCCCGCCCCGCCCTGGGGTCATTCGAGATCTGCTGTCCAGAGCCCTGGGCTGGGACACTTATGTTTCCAAAGGCTTTTAGGAGCCTTGGTTTATCCATTTATAAAATGGGTACAAAGTTCCCCTTCCCTGGCTCTCCCTAGCACTCCCACTCCCCCCAAAAAAACCCAGACTGAGAGACCATGGAGGTGAGACCACCTCACCAGCACTCCAAGACCAGTCTTGGGCCTTGGCTGCCTGCGCACGAGCCCCCACCCCATAAACACCACCCTCCCTTGGGGCTCACAGCATGTAGGTGATGACCCCCATACTCCACATGTCTGTCTTATCGGAGATTCGGTCGTAATTCACCACCTCAGGTGACAAGAACTCTGGGGTCCCAAAATTCACCTTCAGCTTCTCTTTGGGATTGTACCTGGGGAGAGACCAAGAGTTCGGAGTACAGCTCCTGGTTCCCGGGCACCCTCCACCACCACCACCACCCCATCCCCTGCTGACCTCAGACGCCTACCCTATCCTCCCCACCCACCCCGGTGGTACCTCCGTGCCAGACCGAAGTCGATGATCTTCACCAAATGGCCAGTGGTGTTGACGCACAGGATATTCTCTGGCTGAGGAGGAAGGGGGCCTGGATCCGCCTCTGACCCAGCTCACCCTCCACCTCCCCAGGTCCACCAGAGCCCAGGCTGCCAGAGTGGACAGACCCTCAGAGACTGTCCAGATATGCCCAGACAGGCCCAGAAGAGGGTCCTGAGGCCCAGAGAGGGGTAAGGGCTGCCCAGGCCTGGAAGCACAAACTTCTTGGCTGGCTAACGTGGGATGTGCCTTCATTTGAGAGCACTAAAGAACAAAGGTGTTCCAGCTATTCTAAGGAAGAGCTGTTCCCTAGGGTCAGATGCCAGCTGAGGGCCCCCAGAGGAAACCCCTTGGGAGCAGAGGGCTGCACCCTGTCCTTATACTCTCTGAGATGGGCTGCTCTTGTCTCCCCCATTAGGAATGGCAACACTGCAGGCTCTGTGTTAGTCAGTCACTTTCCTCCCAACACCCCTATACTGTTAGAGCAGATACAGTTACTACCCACCCTCATTTGACTGAGGCTCAGACACAGTCGCTCAGCAAGGATTTCTATCGATTTTGTTCAACACTGGATCTCCACCACCTAGAACACTGCTTGGCAGATAGTAAACACCAAGTGCCTTCAAGTCAATTCCAACTCATGGAGACCCTGTGTAAGCCAGAGTAGAGCTTTGCTCATAGGGTTTTCAATGGCTGGTTTTTTAGAAGTAGATCACTGGGCCTTTCTCCCAAGGTGCCTCTGAGTGGACTTGAACCTCCAACCTTTCAGTTAGCAGCCGAGCGCATTAACTGTTTTTACCACCCGGAGACTCCCTGGCAGATAGTAGGCCCCCAATAAATATTTATTGATTGTTGAATCAATGAGCAAACATTCATCAGTGCCAACACTGAAGTCAATCCTTTTGCAACTCTGATTAGCAAATTCCATGGGTGACACTGAGCTTAGGACTCGTGGGACCGTGAAAGACCCTTTCAGCAAGTACTTAGTACTAGGCTAGAAGCTCCGTGAGAGCTGGGACCATGTCTTCTTCCACTTTCTGTTGTACCTCTGTCTCTGGCCCTCAGTAAGTGCTCGATTAAACCCTTTTAAATCTATGGGTGGAAGAATGGATAGAGGAGGAGAAGGAGAGATGGGAGGCTGGAGGGATGGTTGGTTACATCACTGATTTCAGATGGTCTGATGCTGCTCCTGACCCCTCCCAGGGAGGCCTGGTGCCAGTACCTTGAGGTCCAGGTGCAGAACTCTCATCTTATGCATGAAGAGGATCCCGTCGCAGATCTGCCTGACAAACACCATGGTGTCCACCTCGGTCAGGTGATAGTCCTCATCCACAATCCTCTCGAAGAGCTCGCCGCCCTCAATGCTGTGTGCACAGATCCCTCTACAGGCTTGCTTCTGGGCCTGCGGACCCCCACCCGGGCCTCCCCCAACCGCTGCACTCACTACTCCATGAACAGGATGATCTCTTGCGAGGTCTCAATGGCCGCATAGAGCTGGATCAGATTGCGGTGGTTCAGCTGGTTCATAACCTCAATCTCAAGCTTCACCATTTCCTGGGGATCAGAAGTCAGGGCTACCATCCAAGCCTCATTACCCCTTGCCCTTCACCCTCTGTACCTGTGGCCTCAACCAGACCCATCGGTCTGCCAGTCACCTCCTCACTGGTTGCCTTGCCTCCCATCTCTTCCCACTGCCCACATCTGTTGTCCTCATGACCCCCAAGACCCTGTCCTTCTCCTACTTCAGTCCCTGTCTTCCTACTGGAGCCTCTGGGCAAGGGTACATGCTCCCCTCTGTAAGAGGGCCCCTACGCATGCACCATTCTCGCCAAAACCCCACCTGCCTGTCATTCCTGCTGGGACACCTTGCCTTTGCTGATTCTCCTCCTCCTGCTCCTCCCAGGGCTCCATCCTCCCACCTCATCTCTTCCCTCTGTATGCTTGCTCCCTGGGAGTTTTCGTCCTAGTCCCATGACTTCACATTCCACCCAAATGTGACTGATCCCCAGATACATATCTCCACCTCTGAGCTCTCCCTTGAGTTCCAGAGTCCAGTATATACAACTGCCTACTTATGATTTCCCTTGGATGTCTAACAGGCACCTCAAATCTATCACATCCAAAATTAAACCCTTGATACTGCCCTTTCCCCACAATTGAATCACCCTCAGCTTTCTCCTCAGGAAAAAATACCACTCTTCACCCAGGAGTTCCTGGGTGGTGCAAACAGTTAATGCACTCGGCTGCTAACTAAAGGTTGGAGGTTTGAGTCTACCCAGAGGTACTTTCGAAGAAAGATCTGGCATTCTACTTCCCCCAAATCAGCCATTGAAAACCCTATGGAGCACAGTTCTATTCTGACACACATGGGGTCACCATGAGTCAGAATCAACTCAATGGCAACTGTTTGGTTTTGGGTTTTCTTCATCCAGGTGTGCAGGACAAAAATTTAGGAGCTATCTATCTCACTTCCTCACACCCACATCCAGTAAATCCTTTGATTCTACCTTCAAACTGTATTACAAATCCAATAATTTCTCACCTCCTCCACCACTGCCTTTCTAGTCTAAACCACCATTATTTGTCCCTTGCAGAAAGTTTACAAGCCAGTTGTCACATTGGTAGTTTGAAATCGGCTATGGTGGGAATATTTACACCATGGAAATTGGCAAATGCTACGAATTATGCCTCTTCCCTCCTCCACACTCCACCCAGAGCCAGTTGTTAAACAGTGGCCAGTGCTTCACTCCCTGAATTGCTCCTCTTCTGCCTATATTTCCTTCTCTCCTTCAGGTCTCACCTGACATCACACTTCCTCAGAGAGGCCCTGTCTGAAAACGGTCCCATTGGCCCCACACTCCCTGTATCTTACCTGGCTTTTTTTTTTTTCTTCCTAGCACCTCTCATGCTGGGTTTTTTGTTTTTTGGGTTTTTTTTTTTTTTTTTTTTTTTTTTGGTGTTTATATTCTCAGGCAGAGACTTTTTTATTGAGGTTGTTAATTGTCTTGATAAGTTGTTCTTGTTACCAAACCAAACCAAACTTGTTGCCATGGAGTCAATTCCGACTCATGGCAACCCCATGTGGTGCAGAGTAGAACTGTTCAGTAGGGTTTTCCTGGCTGTATTCTTATTTATTTATTTATTATTGTTGTGCTTTAAGTGAAAGTATACAATTCAAATTAGTCTCTCATACAAAAATTTATACATACTTTGTTATGTGACCCTAGTTGCTCTCCCTATACTGTGACAGCACACTCCTCCCTTCTACCTCAGATTTCCTGTGTGCATTCAGCCAGCTCCTGACCCTCTCTCTGCCTTCTCATCTCACCTCTGGACAGGAGCTGCCCATTTAGTCTCATGTATCTGTTTCAGCTAAGAAGCACACTCTTCCGGAGTATCATTTTATGTCTCATAGTTCAGTCTAATCTTTGTCTGAAGAGTTGGCCTCAGGAATGGTTTTAGTTTTGGGCTAACAGAGAGTCTGGGGGCCGTGTCTTCCGGGGTCCCTCCAGTCTCAATCAAACAATTAAGTCTAGTCTTTTTACTAGAATTTGAGTTTGAGTTCTGCACTCCACTTTTCTCCTGCTCCGTCAGGGACTCTCTGTTGTGTT